TTCCTTTTTTCCCGGTATTGTAGGGCAGGATGGCTTCGGTCGAAAGGGAGACGCTGTCCCAAGATGAACTCCGGAAAAGGCTCTATCAGACTTTTAAGAACCGAGGTGTCCTGGACACACTTAAGGTGTGTTTTATTTTCAGCAGGTGCTACCCATGATTCGCTGTACTACTTAACATTGGAAGCAGTGAAAGTCATGCTGAATAAAGGTGTTTCCCACTCTCCCCAGCTGTATTATTTTTGCCACAGCCTAATTCGTATTCAGCTTTTATTTGCCAGAAACGAGGTTCTTCCTAAACTGAAGTGTTTTTCATTGTGGATTAGTTTCAGAGTCTTTTTCAGGAAGGTTAAAGGCTTGTATCGGGTCTTTGAAAATTTCCATACTTGAGAAAGAAGTCAAGCAGAGAAGAGAGGAATACATGAGAATACAGATTTGGGAAGGACCTCTTAGGTGGCAGAGTCAATTTGTTACCTGTTATAAGTAAACATGCTATGTGAATTCTCCTCCTGAAATATTCCAGTTCTGTTTTAAAACTATTTGAGCTGTTTTCTCCTTGTCTGCTCATTGAGGAGAACGTCTTAGAATCTGGTTGTGTTCAAGAGTGAAATGTTGTTCTGATTTGTAGTCTGGGTTTATTTATGGTTGCTCTGGCCTTTTTTCTTGTGCTGAAAGTATCCTTCAGTTTAAGTAGCTCTTGCTTCTTTTGATGAATTTATAGGCAGCAGTCATATCTTTTCTTCAGCATTCTGTTCTACGATGCTAAGCAAGTCAAGGTGCAGGAATCTCATTGCTGGTTATCCCAGCAGTCCTCTGCATCACTTTGAAGTCTTTCCCCCTTTTTTTAAAGGAAGTAGATCATGATTGTTGTGAGCTTTCCAGACAAAGTTTAGAATGGTATTAATTCTTCCCTGTTTTTGTGGGGAAAGTCTCTGGAAGGCTGCATGTATCTTTTTGAGGCATGTTACATTTGTAGTGCTAGTCACTGTTTGATTGACACATCCACATCTTGCTTTTTCCAAACGCTAAATCCCTTGTGTTGTAGCAGAAATTCGTGTCAGACCTTAAATGCTGAAATGTTGTATTGCATGCAGTTTCAGTTTTGCTAGCCTTTAAACATTATCTGATTGTATTTTTTTATGATATCTTGATCTTTTGTATACTTCTATACACATCTTTATGTCACCAGCATATTTTTTTAGCTTCTGCTCTTTATGTCAAATTCATTACAGTTAAAAAAAAAAAATCAACATCCATATTTTAAGAATACCACTGATAACCTTATGGCCAAGAATTCCCTCTTCAGGAAAACTTGTTTCTCCCTTAGTGACTTCCATACCAAGCTTGCCGTACTTGAACCATTTCTTGCCTTGTTGACTTAAACTAATAGTCTGTCAGGTGGCATGCTATTTAATTCCATTTTCCTGCTTTTCTTTTCCTTGTCTGGAAGATTATACATCTTACTAAAGATTTTGTAGCTTTTCTGACCTGAAGAATTAATACAGTTGGGTTTTTAATGGATTCCTGCAAACACTGTTACATCTGCCAATGAGAATACTCTCAACTTTCTTGTGGTCTTATCTGACTGTCTCTGCTGTTAAGAGGCAGGGTGGATCTGGAGCTACAGCTGTGCTGAATGGCCAACATATAACAACCAATTTCTGCCTTCCTTTCCCACAGTAGGGACAGGGATTTAGCGCTGTGTTTTCCACCTGCACTTTGTCACGAGATGTATAAGAGGTTGCTGGTCTTGGTTGTTTTTGAGACAACCTCATCTCTGTCAAAGTTGGTTGAAACTGGACAAGTTCAGAAATTAGTACAGAAAACAATTTTTTTCAGTTGTCTTAATTTCTCTCTATTGTCTAATTTCTGTAGAAAGCCATGCTAAAATATCAGACTAGTTGATGATCTAGCTTTGTTAAGTTTTGGTAAGCATTTAGTATTTCATCCCATTTTTGGTAACACACTGTTTCTTTAATAACTTTGTCACTGTTGCATGCCTGCTGTTGAAAGCTTAAAACACTATTTCTATCGTGATCTTTTAGTACGCTATAAACAATTTGTATAATTATATAATGAAAATTGTTATTTCTTCCTTTTACAGGAAGGAGGCTTTCTGATTTTAGGTTACTTTTTTCCTCTATTGTAACTCATAGAATGCAAATAAATAATAAAAAATGCAATTTAATTATTATTAGTGCCTGTAGGCTTTTTTGATTACTACCGTTTTGCTTCCCTACAAAATAATTGATGTTAAAGACATTTTATTTCCTGTTTATTTTCCCATCTGCTTTTGTGATTGCATTGGCAGCTTCTTGATATGAGACTCTGAAGAGGACTAGTGAGTTTTCCAAGTACACCTGAAATTGAGGCCACATCAGGCAGGCTTTATTTAAGCCAGAGAGAAGGAGAACAGGAAAGCAGTGATCTAAAAATGAAGCTGGGGGTACTGGGGTGTAGTTTATGTGAGTTCTTGACTGAGAACAATACTTCTTTTCAGTCCTACATTTGATACATCTTGAGGGAAAGTCAAAGATCACTGTAGCCACTGTTAGAGTGTTTTGAAGAAAGGCACGGTGTCCCAAGCACTCTTCTAAATTTTGCCAAAGTTAGTCTGCCCATTTCTGTTATGTATGTTGTAATAGAATGTGTACAAGTAAAATGAGACTCCCCGTGAATTTTGAAAAATAAAAACTGTCATTGAATAACGTGTAAACTGAGAATATAATGTCTTTTCTGTGTCAGACACAGCTCCGAAACCAGCTAATCCATGAACTAATGCACCCAATTTTAAATGGAGAACTTCAGCCGCAGGCTGTTCCAAATGATGACAGTTCACTTTTGATCACAGCTTCCAACAGTTTGGTGGCAGATCATCTACAGAGATGTGGCTATGAGTATTCACTTTCTGTTTTCTTTCCAGAAAGTGGATTAGAGAAGAAGAAGGTAAGCTCAGTAATTTACCTGTTTGAAGACTTCTAGGAGCTTTGCTTTCTGGGGGGTGTTACGTTCTAACAGAATTGAAAAAATCCCCTTTTGTGATAGTGAAATACAAATACAGTTTCTGATCATCTCCATAAAAGACTTCTCATATTCAAGGCCATTTTCATGAATACTTTAAACTGGCAATAAGCTAATGATGCTGGGGAAGACATAGCACAAGCCTCTTAACCTCATACTTGCTTCACCCACAGCCGCAGTCTGGCCTGACCATTTGTGAGGCTGTGTGGCAGACCACTTGGGGAAGTGATCCTGATTAAAGCTAGCCTCTTGTTTGGCCAGTCAATTCCCTGGAAGTGTGGTTCATGGTCAGTTTAAGCTGTTCTAACTACAAACTGTAGCTGAAAAGGGCAGTCCTTGCCCTCTCTTTGTTTCTCCTCTATGAGTATGTGATAGGGTGAAGTTGTTTCTAACTGAAAATTAATTTTTTTGACTTGGTGAGTAGTTAGTTGTCATTTGGGTTAATGAGCTCATCTGATTTGTGTGATAAATCAAGAAAAGAGGCAAGGAAAGTAGCAAGAGCATGTATCCAG